GTGCTGGGATTATAGGCGTGAGCCACCGCGCCCGGCTAATTTCTATATTTTTAGTAGAGATGGGGTTTTGCCATGTTGGTTAGGCTGGTCTCAAACTCCTGACCTCAGATGATCCACCCACCTCACCTCCCAAAGTGCTGGGATTATAGACGTGAGCCACCGCACCCAGCCTGGTGTATTGCTTTTAAATCCTGAAGGAATCAGTTGATTTAAAAGTACTAAAAAGTACCTTTCTGAGGAAAATAGCTGAAAAATTTTTTTTCTGCAAAGGAAAAGTACTAAAAAGTTCCCTTTTTAGGCATACCTAAGGACATACAGTGCAATACAAAAAATACAGGTGTGTTCTTACTTTCATTTGACATTGACAGTAAATTCAAACATTTTCAGGAAGCTTGAAGGAAACAGGTTTGTCTTTTGTCTTTAGAGATGGGGGTCTTGCTATGTTGCCCAGGCTGGTCTCCTGGGCTCAAGTGATCCTCCCAACTTAACCTCCCTAGTAGCTGGAACAAGTGTGCACTGTGCCATGCTTGATTTGCCTTTTTAACTAAAGGAAGAGACTAAGTAGGCAAATTGCCTAGGTGCTGGTTACCAGTTTTCTGCTATAAGACAAGGCATTGGCTTAAATGATCCCTAAGATCTCCGCAAGCCCTCAACTCCTGTAAATTTATATTCGTTTCCCAATAACGTTAACATACAGATTTTCCCTTTTTCATATTCTCTAAATCTTCTTTAATGTGCCTGATTTTCCTTTTTAACATAAAATAAATCTTCAAAAGGAGAAGCAAAGACCAAATTGAAACATTTAATCCTCTCTCAAGTCCTGGAATCTGTGCAAAAAAAGTATTTCTATACTAAAAGCTTAATGACCTCTTTTGTGATATATTCTAAATAATGAAAAAAAAATGCATGGCACAGTTTTGAACCTAATTCTGTGTTTTGCATTTTCAGTTGCAGTATTTACCCCAGCTAACTGGCAGCAGCATCCTTCCAGCTTTGGATAATAAGAAGTACTACTGTAATACCAAGAAACTTAACTACCATTTTCCAAACATTTAAAGGTGCTAGGAGACATGATTTTAAAAAAGGAATCGATAGATTCTTTGAAGAAAATAAAACGTATACAGTTGATTGAAAACAATTACAATGTTGAAAACATACCAAGAGAAAACATAAGCAAGAAATTGGGAGGCCACTTGGCACAATACGAAGGGAAATTCCAGATCCAGTCTTCCATGCTTGATAATGGTGTACAGAAAAGTGTTTGGAGTTTCACCTGTATTTCAATTTATGTAAGCAGCCGAGTTTATGAACAGCATATGAACTGTCCCATACCTCTGGCAAAACCAGATGATGTCAAAAAGATTTATGTTTCACTTGTACCAAATGCCACACAAGAAGAATGGACTACAAAATACCTATACATATTTCCTCCGATCTCTGTTGCCTTGACTCCTATCTCTTGCCTCTCAGATTGTTTCAGCATATTTAAGGCTAGTTCTATTTCTTGAAATCAAAATGTTTAAAATCCCATTTCCTGCTTGCTCTATTGCTTGATTTTTATATCTTAAAACATTTTGTGGGTAACACTTAGATTCAAAATATTTAAAAACATATGAGTTATCACAAAGACTTGGTAATTTCTATATTTAATTATATGTTTATACATTTCATTCTTATAAGGATGTACCTTAGTCACTTTTGCAGGCAAGATGGATTTACTATAATCTGTCTACATTTATTCACCCCATTACCCTTGCAAACAGAGGGATGAAGCTTGGCAAGTGATTAAGGCAGTCAAAGGGTAGAGCAAGACCTACGGGCTTTGCAGGAACTGAACCTGTCATCCTGAAAATAATTAGTACTTCATTCTATCCGGCACAGCCTTAGACCTGGTACATCTATAGGCAAAGCTGTAATATAGTGATCTGGGTTTCAGAAGGAATTGCTTGTGGACTCATTCATGACATGAGTCATGAAAGACATGATGTTTTCCCTGAAACATCTTTTCATGCTGTGTATGTGTAGGTATGTATATATATATATATATATATGCTATCCTAACGACTAATATATTACAATAAGTAGTCCAAAATTGAGGATTCACAGCTTTGTACAGTGACTTAAAATGATGACATATATGTATTTATGTGTGTGTGTGTGTGTGTATATATATACACATATATATACACACACACATATGTATGTATGTCAATCCCTCCACCTCAGCCTCCCAAGCAGCTGGGACTACAGCCATGTGCCACTATACCTGGCTAATTTTTTTGCATTTTTTGGTAGAGACAGGGTTTTGCCATGTCGCCCAGATTGTCCTGAACTCTTCTGCTCATGCGATCTGCCCGCCTCGGCTTTCCAAATTGCTGGCATTATAGGCATGAGCCACTGCGTCTGGCCAAAAAGACATAATTAGCTTTGATTTGGCCTACTGCTCTTAATCAAAAAGCTTTTTCATCCTTGTCCCCTGGACACAAGGGCAATATGAAGCCTGATGTCTGTTTCTTACAGCTCAACACCATTTCTGGTTGATGTGCTGCCACCATTCCTAGCACTTCTCAGCCATGGTCTTCAAAGCTGTATTGCACTGTATTTTCAAAGCATTTCTTCTGTATTCTCATTTTCTTGTAAATTTTCTTCATGATGACACCTGACCCCATTCCCTTACTGTTAAGTAATCCACTGAAGTCTGGTGTCTGTTCGATAATTTTGACTACTTTAGGCACTTTAATGATATCCTAAGGCTTCCTAATGTAGTTTCTTGCCTAGATCTGATAGTGGGTTAAATGCTAGTCCCAGAATTATTCAATTCCTGTTAGCCTTGATTCACATGACAAGGAAGAATATCCAACTTCCGTGAATAGTTAAAAGTTTTCTTTTTTTCCCTTAACCCAAGAAAATGCACTTGATGGAGGCAGATGACCATAACTGCTTAATTGAGCCAATAGTTTTACTGAAAACCATTCAGAATAGAAAAGTAGCTCTGGACTAAATGTGGTGAATCAGTTGTCTCACCACACAGTAATGAAAGAAACTTGAGAAAAAAGGCTTATTTTTCTCTAAGGAGTTCCATTAAATTTATGCTTATGTTCAATTTGACCATATTTATAATCCTTTTATTCAAATGCATGAAATCCCTACCACATGAGACTCTTCCACATCATTTTATTTACTTTTCAGATTTTTAAAATGACAGTGGCAATTAATAAACGGTTGACCATTTATCTATGTGCTATTTGTATAAGCTGGGTTTTAAACACACAAAAATTATTTTTTCTACCTGAAAGCTGCATCATAGAAAGTATTTATTTGAAAATTCTTTTCAAGTTTATATTCAACAGCTTAATAATGTTTAAACCAGGCCGGGTGTGGTGGCTCACACCTATAATCCCAGCACTTTGGGAGGCCTAGGTGGGTGGATCATGAGATCAGGAGTTTAAGAACAGTTTGGCCAAGATGGTGAAACCCCATCTCTACTAAAAATACAAAAATTAGCCGGGCATAGTGGTGGGCTCCTGTAATCCCAGCTACTTGGGAGGCTGGGGCAGAGAAATGCTTGAATCTGGGAGGCGGAGGTTGCAGTGAGCCAAGATCATGCCCCTGCACTCCAGCCTGGGCAACAGAGCGACACTCTGTCTCCAAAAAAAAAAAAAAAATGTTCAAACCACACACACAGAAATCTATAAACAAGCTGGCATAGAACAGTAATAGAATCAGGGGCATTTCACACAGGTAACAAAGACCTGTTTTATCTATTTTTGACTTTTTTTTTTTGAGACAAGGTCTTAATCTATTGCCCAGGCTAAGTGCAGTGGTGCCAACATGGCTTACTGCAGCCTTGACTTCCCAGGCTCAATTTTTTAAGAGACAGACAGGGTCTCCCTTTCACCCAGGCTGCCAGGGTGGCATGCAGTGGCCATGATCATAGTTTACTGAAGCCTCAAACTCCTGAGCTCAAGTGATCCTACCACCTGAACATCCCAAGTATCCGGGACTACAGGTGTGCACCACCATGCCTGGCTAATATTTAAATTTTTTTTATAAAGATAGGGTCTCACTGTGTTACCCAAATTGGTCTCAAACTCCTTGCCTCAAGTGATCTTCCACCTCAGCCTCCCAAAGTACTGGGATTACAGGCATGACCCACGGCACCCAGCCTAAAGCAATTTTAGGTTTTAAGAAAAACCTAAGCATAGCCTACTGGTTTTTATTATTGTTTCCTTTATTATATTGCAATCTGCAAAACTATGTGAATTCAGCCAAGAACTATGTCCAGTTTTAATAAAATACTAGCTTAAGTTTACAAAGTAGACAAATTAAGCAGCAACTGTTGATTTTGAGAAAGGATGTATGGTATGAAGAACACAAGAATGCAGAATCATGGGAAATGCATGCAAATCCTGGGAAGCAATACATAAATGCATGCCTCAACAACCGCTGAACACTTTGTGCAACTGATTCCATCAGTGAATCTGTAATTTAGCTTCTAATTTATCATAATTGTGCATTTATGGTAGCATGCTTCATTAAAGTTAAATTTAATGTAAATTATTGTTATAATACAATAAAATATCTGTTGTTCAAATAACTTTAAACGATTCCAAATATCTACATCAAAAGATATCTCTAGATTTACATATTAAGTGAAGAATATATGAGAATTAAAATGTTACCTAGTTTGCATTTTTCTTTTTTCTTTTTCTTTTTTTTGAGATGGAGTCTTGCTCTGTTGCCCAGAATGGAGTGCAGTGGCACAATCTCGGGTCACTGCAACCTCCACCTCCTGGGTTTAAGTGATTCTCCTGCCTCAGCCTCCAGAGTAGCTGGGATTACAGGCATGTACCACCACACCCAGCTAATTTTGTATTTTTAATAGAGATGGGGTTTCGCCATGTTGGCCATGGTTGGTCTTCAACTCCTGACCTTAGGTGATCTGCCTGCCTTGGCCTCCCAAAGTGCTGGGATTACAGGTGTGAGCCACCATACACAGCTGCATTTTTCTTAATGTGTATTAATGTACATAAATTCTCACTTCCAACTTAGTAACATTAGTGAGTTCACATCTGAATATTTTCTACATATGAGGCACTCTCCACTTCTAAAATGTCATGATATGGCATCCTTATAATTCTACTGATGATTATATAATATTAATTGACATTTAGAATCACCAGTTTCAAATGATCCTTTATACTGAAATAAGACACATTCTTTTACATCAATTGTAATTTTAGTTCCAGAGAAGGCAGTGCTGTCTTAAAGGTTTGGACAAGATTTTCTTTTTCTCTTACTCCAGGAAGATCACTTAACAACAAATATTTGAGGTTTCTGCAAGTAAAGAAAAAAAGTCACTTTAATTTGGCCAAGAGCATTAAAAATAAACTCAATTTACTGACTTAAAGAAAATTACATAGAAAATGAATCTATGTCACCCTATGCTTTAAAAATGACTTTCAGAGAAGTAGCCTTAGAGATGAAATTCATGCCAAGAAGTAACACAGACTTTGGGTTATGTCAATATTTCTAGCCAAATCATTCTAAATAAAATATATATAATGACATAGATATCCTTTGCATGTGAAATATGAAATGTGAAACCCCAAAAGGGTAAAAACTGTGAAAGTTCTTAAAGGTACTTAAGTTTCTACCAAAAGATGAAGCTTTGAAACCTCAACTAATGTAAGAGATGAATAATCTAGTACTTTTGGTCCTCATGTTTAAAATTTCTCAAACTTCCTGTGATATTGAGGTTTCTGGCAGATCCATTATATATTAAAGCATAACTACATTAATTAGATTCAGAATTTAAATGTGGGGATCTCTAAAATAGGGATTTGATTAAACAAACTTCTGTTCTTTTTTTTATCATGCTGATAAGACTCAGAATCTTACAATTTTAGAATTAAACATTCCTTGCTAGTATTATCTGTTTTTGCATTTGGGATTAGGTGACTTGCTCCAGGACATGGCATGGGTCTGGTTGGTGGCACAAAAGGATGTAGAACAGCTTTCCTAACTAGTGGATGCGTGCTTTTGATGAGCATTATAGTGTCAGGCAGTGTTCCAAGCTCTAGAGACAGAAAGGTGAATATTTCAAGGTTTGTTTCCCTCAAACAACATAATTACAGGGTAAAATGCTAATAGGTATACACCAAATATCCTGAAAATATCAAAAACATAGGGGAAATCACTTTAAAAAAAAGTAGAGAAAGCATAATCGTTGATGCTCACTGAGGGCTTACTGTGACAGGCATCATGCTAGGTGCTTAATTAATACAGATTTAATTTTTAAAAACATACTCTATAAAAAATGCAATAAAACTAATGGATTAAGGTTGATAATTTTAACTGTTTTAAAGTATTACAGATGAAAGTGAGGTCATTTTTAAAAATCATCTTTTTCAGAACTAAAAAAAGATACTAAAGATACTACCCCTCACAGTCAGTTAAATTCTAACTATTCACCTTAACAGCATTATCAGGTTTCCACTTTGGCTTTGATCATCTACCTTAAATGACGCAAAGCAACGATGCCTTTGTCTGTGATATTGCCACAGGATATTATTTCCATTTCCAATATGCTTTTTTGTAAATTTTCAAGTTGACTAAGTTTCAGCAAACAGCCATCTTCGATATACTGACACTTGCACAGCCTTATTTTTTCAACGTGCTCTAGGCCCTCTGGGGAGAAAAAGCACAGATTAAGAATCTGCTTTACCATTAAGATGACAAACTGTCCTGGTTTGCTCAAGACTAACTTAGCTTTAGGACTGAAAGTCCTATGTCCTGGGAAACCTCTTAAGTTTAAAAACTGGAATGAGTGCTCACCGTACTAACCATATAAGGAATTCACTATAGAGCTTGTGCTGATGGACAGGGCCATTCCGCAGTCAGATGCCCTGGAGGAAAGAAATGCCCACATAGGGGCAGGCACGGTGGCTCACACCTATAGTCCTAGCACTTTGGGAAGCTGAGGCACGTGGATCGCCTGAGGTCAGGAATTCAGACCAGCCTGGCCAACATGGTGAAACCCTGTCTCTACTAAAAATACAAAAATTAGCCGGGCATGGTGGTGCACGCCTGTAGTCCCAACTATTTGGGAGACTGAGGCAGGAGCATCACCTTGGAGGCAGAGGTTGCAGTGAGCCAAGATTGTGCCAATGCGCTCTAGCCTGGGCGAGAGTGAGACTCTGTCTCAAAAAAAAAAAAAAAAAAAGCCCACATAAACAGAAGCTGTGTGGATATAATTAATTATTCCTGCATTATCGAGGGCTCCTCAGTGATAGAAGTTTGACAAAGATAGTTTGACAAACAAGGCCCTGGATTTTAAGTCAATAAACCAAAGAATAGAGACATATAAAAACAAGCTTAGTGAGAGGAGGAAGGAGAGGAAGGTATTTGTCACCTCAATTTAATTTGAAAATAAATATCAAACGCAGGAAGAAACAAACTTGACTGTACTGAAATGGGCAAAAAAGACATACCTATAACTATAATTGTGAGTCAACCACAAAATAGTCATTGCAAATCACCTGCATTTCCTATTAGCAAAATGATAGAGTGGTTACCCATGTGATCAAATCCAATGCTCATGATACAAGAGTCGGTGGCATCAATCGCCTGAATCTTATATTTGTCGAGAGGGCCTGTTGGGAGGTGGTTGTAGTCCTTCTGCCACCTCTCCTGACCATGGTAGCGTACCATGGCCCCACAGCGCAGCAACCACTCGGATGCTGCCCTGTCAGGGCCAACATCCCTGATGCGCTCATAATCCACCCTGTTTGCAAGAGGAAAAAAAAGCAGTTCGCTTTTACAATAATTACTAGCTTGTTAACTATATTCACTGACATAAATACAGAACGTAACAAATTTTCATTTCAAGTGGCTGAAGAGGAAGATAAATGTATTAATGAGATCCATGCAAAAAAACCCCTAAAACTAAAAAACTGTAGTTTATCTGCTAACTTTTTGTTTTGTTTTTGTTTCCAAGTGAACACTGTCATGGCATATTATTTTTATATGACTTTATCAGTCAGACACAAGTTTTCATTGATTCGTATATAGTAGAGTGCTTGACACCAGACATATTTAGTAACTGTTCTAGGAGTGACTATACTTGGTGAGAATTTCTATTAATAACAAAAGATTAAAGAGAAAATAATTCTGAATTTGTGTTCAAATTAATCTCAGTAAGTGATATTTATTAATTTCTACATATGCTTTTTTTTCTGTAGCTAGTGATCATAATGCTGTATTAAGCAATCAGAAGGAGGTTCATCAGTTTCAAAATAATATTTTTCAGTGTGCCACCCACTAATTTTTTGAAAACTTGAGTTACTTTGATAGAATTCAAAAGGTTAACTACATTCCTTTAAAAAGCCATAAAAATATTTAAAAATTATATTTAATACATTTTTCTGATTATGTTTATTTTAAAAAACTTGAAATATATCAAAAGGACTAGTAAAAAAAATCCTTGAAATTCTGCAACTCAAACAGCCACAGTTAACATTTTGTAATCTATTTTTCTGCTGTTTTTCCGATGTTTGTGTGGGTTTTGTTTGTCTGTAAACAAAATTAGGATCACACTGTAAATTGTTAAAAGAACATTTGAAATACAAGAAATAGGCCAGGCGCAGTGGCTCATGTCTGTAATCCCAGCACTCTGGGAGGCTGAGGCAGGTGGATCATCTGAGGTCAGGAGTTGGAGACCAGCCTGGTCAACATGGTGAAACCCCGTCTCTACTAAAATACAAAAATTAGCCAGGTGTGGTGGTGGGTGCCTGTAATCCAAGCTACTCAGGAGGCTGAGGCAGGAGAATCACTTGAACCTGGGAGGTGGAGGTTGCAGTAAGCCAAGATCGATCCACTGCACTCTAGCCTGGGAGATAAGAGCAAGAAAACAAACAAACAAAAAATAGCCAAACTAGCTGTCAGGAACTAATCTATCTGTAATAATCTCCATATCTCTTCACTTTATTTAGAGTAACTTACTTAAACAAACAAACAAACAAAAAAATGAGAAATAGCCAAACCAGCTACTGGGAACTTATCTAGCTGTAACAATCTCTACATTTCTTCACTTTATTTAGAGTAACTTACTTATTAAACACTGCATTCAACCAGCTCCAGAAGTATCTGGAGTCACATGACCGTGGGAGTTTCTTTAATCCACACAACTGCTGGGAAACTTTTCCAAACAGCATCATTTGATCTAGACACACAAAACAGTACTTATATTAGATCATCATCAGGGTTCTATACATACAGCAACTTACTTCACAACTTCAGAGTCAATGTTCTTGTACTGATAAAGCTGATGACTCACTTGCCACTCAACAGTTATTGAGCAGGTCACTCCTGTTTCTGCTTCTTGGGTTTTTTTATTTGTTTGCTGCAAAAAAATGAGGGGTTGGACTGGATGGTGCCTAATGTTCCTTCTGGCTTGAACATTAAGTTCCACTGTTGAAAACTCAACTGGAGTCTGTCTGTTGTACTGCCACCTAGTGTCCATTCAGGCACTGTAGTTACATATTTGCTGAAACCAGCTCTACTCCCCATCTGTATTTTCAGTATCAAAATGACTTACCAAAATCACCGAAAAACCAATGTGTCGAGGTTAAGATGCTTACATCCAGAAGAGAAGAGGAGACATGAAAATAGATCTACCTATGACAAGGCTGCAAGTGGTGTTACCACAGCAGTGTAAACAATAAAAATGTTGCAGGGCAGCTGGAAAGGGCTGGGCAACTGACTTCACCTTTCTAACCTCTGGTATTCTCATTTGTAAAATGAGATGATTTGCTTAGATAATTTCCAGCTGTCAAAATCTATAACCAGAATTTGAGAAAGTGATTCCTGGAGTAGGTTTCAATCTGATTTACCTTAATTCAAATTTCTCTAGTAGTGTTCTAGGTGGTGTGTGCAAGGGACTGGGTGCAGCAGGGGGGACGGGGAGACAAAGATAAATGAAACACGGTGTTTGCTTTGAGCATCTGACAATTTAATGCAGGGTGGAGTGGGCTAAGATACGTTACCAAGGAGTTAAAATAAGTGACGGAACTTGATAAATGCCTCAAAAGAGTTAAAACGAGGACAGAAAAAATTTCAACAGACAAAGGTGCCAGGAAAAATTATGCCAGATTATTAGCTGAAGCAGGAACATTTAAGGCATGTTATTTTCAGTTTCACTAGCACATGTGAGTCATGAGAAGAGGCAGGCAACTTGCAGAGTCAGGTCACGAAGGGTCTTGCATGCTCACCAGGGAATTTGGACTGTATTCTGCAGGCAGCTGAGAGTCACCGAGGTTTTAGAACAAAGCACTGCCATTGCTACGGTTGTGCTTCAAGAAATTTACTCAGACAGCAGCATCAAGATTAAGGGTCAATAGAATGGGACAGCCAGCCAGCAAGGGTTTCAATCACATGAGGCCAGAGGAAAGGGCCTAGTTGGCGAAGGATGGGAATGATATTACAGAGTTAGTTCCATATGACTGAGTTAAGTGAGATGTAGGGGCAAGGGTTAGAGGAGTTGAAGATGACACCAAGTTTTGGTCCTGGGTTACTAGTAGGATAGTGTTGCCATGAACAGAAATCAATATCAGGAGGACGGGGTTATAGGTTCAGATTTTTTATTTTAGTTTTTCATAATCTATATATTAAATGTTAGCAGGATTTCTAAGTGCAGATGACCAAGAAATCACTGGAATCAGTCACAAAATGTTAGAGCTGTAAGGAATTTAGATCACCTGGACCATGTGGGGAAACTGAAGCTCTGATATTAAGTAACTTGCAGACACCCTAAATCCATTCTGGAACAAGGTGCGGTATTAATAAATGCATGTGTTTAAAGGGACTTGCTCAATGTTTCATGGCTAATTGGTGGTAGTGTTGAAACTTGAACCCAGTTCTCTACCAGTCTGGGGTCCTTTCCTTAATCATTACATGGTTCTAGAATTCAAGAGAAAGAAGAGGGCTAGAAAGATGCCTGAATGGGAAACATCTTAGAGCTGAGGAAGTAACTGAGGATGTTGAGGCCATGAAACAGTGAGAGATGTGACCTGACGACAGAACCAACTACCTTTTTCACTTCTTTTCTACCATAGCCGTCTTCATGACTGCAAACCTCTGCTCCACTACCTCCCTTTCATGTTCTCAACCCTTTCCAGCTTTTTGTTAAAGCTCTCTGTGCCTGTGCCCACCTTGAATAACTATTAGTTGTCAATCTTATTTACAAAATATGGGCTTTCCCAGCTTCTATTCAGGCTATTTTCTCTTAGCCTCCCTCCCCCATCACCATCAGTCTGTGGAAATTCCACCCAACCTCAAGACCTTATTCAAATTCCATGACCATTCATTCACTCGCTCAATAAATGTTTATTGAATGTCTGCTATACTTAGTGCAAAAGCAACAACGGTAAGTCAAAACAAACAAGAACAAAGGAGAAAGAGACATACAGAGAGAAGGACAAGGTTCCTGGCCTTATATAACGCATAGTTTAATAAAGACAGATGACATATTAAGAGATAAATAACATCCAACGTAGTTGGATAATAGAGGTGTGAACAAATGCCATGAGAATCTAGAAGAGGGAGCGAGAGGAAGGCTTCATACTGGAGGTGTCTTTTGAGATGGGTCTTAATGATTAAAGTTTTTAGTTAGTATAAAAGCAGAACCAGAATATGCAAAAAAAAAATCCAGTTAGAACAAAAAAAGAGTATGCAAAGTAAAAGAAAGAGCAAGACTCATATCTTATTCATTTCTATTTTTCTTAGCATAATGCAAAAGTTTAATAAATATTTGTTTATTAACAGTCTTCAATGGTTGACACGTTTCCATGGAGAAAGATAAAACCAGTTAAACTGTTATTAAGCAGGTGAATTAGAGTGGTCTTTGAAAACTTTTGCTTGATTCATTTTGGTCCATCTTATAATTTAGCTTAAACGAAAGGCCAACTTTACTTCAGCTGCAATCTCTAAAAACACAAGATATTAGCTTTAAAAGATTTTAAACATGAAAATTAAGTTTATATTTGGCAATAGAGGTAAAAAAAAATTGGTAGGTTTTTACATTCTCAATTGCAACTTTGCTAATGATTTTGCAAATTATTCCTACTTGAGTCCAAGCAGTTGTGTCTGGGAATGTTTTCTCCAGGGAAAGAGGAGACCTCTAGTGGTAAGTTAGTGAATCTAGCTCTAATAAATTAAAAGTATCCAGTTAAACGCAAATTAGAAAATAACCACTACTAAATTACTGCTGCCATAGATAATCCACCATGATCAAGTGGGTTTCATATCAGGAATGCAGGAATGGCTTAACATACACAAGTCAATAAATGTTATACACCACATAAACAGAATTAAAAACAAAAATTACATGATCATCTTAACAGATGCAGAAAAAGCATTTGACAAAATGCAGCATCCCTTTGTGATTAAAGCCCTCAGCAAAACTGGCATACAAGGAGCATACCTCAAAGTAATAAAAGCCATCTATGACAAACTGACAGCCAACATAATAGTGAATGGGGAAAAGTTGAAAGCAGTCCCTCTGAGAACTGGAACAAGACAAGGATGGCCACTCCCACCACTTTTTAAAAAAAAAATTTTTTTTTGAGATGGTGTTTCACTCTTGTTGACCAGACAGGAGTGCAATGGCACGACCTTGGCTCACTGCAACCTCTTCCTCACAGGTTTAAGTGATTCTCCTGCCTTAGCCTTCCGAGTAGCTGGGATTACAGGCACTTGCAACCATGTCAGGCTAATCTTTTGTGTTTTTAGTAGAGATGCGGTTTCACCATGTTATCCAGGCTGGTCCTGATCTCCTGACCTCAGGTTATCCATCCACCTCGGCTTTTAAAGTTGCTGGGATTACAGGCATGAGCCACGGCACCAGGCCCCACTCTCGCTACTTCCATTCAGCATAGTACTGGAAGTCTAGCCAGAGCCATCAGACAAGAGAAAGAAATTAAAGAGGTAAAGAGGAAGTCAAACTGTCACTGTTTGCTGATGATATGACTGTTTACCTAGAAAATCCTAAAGACTCCTCCAAAAAGCTTCTAGAACCAATAAATGAATTCAGCAGAGTTTCAGAATACAAAATTAATGTACACAAATTAATCTTTCCTATACACTGACAGCAACCAAGCTGAAAATCAAATCAAGAACTCAACCCCTTTAATAATAGCTGCAAAATAAATAAATAAAATACTTAGGAATATGCCTAACGAAGGAGGTGAAAACTACAAAAACTACTAAAAGGAAAACTACATTGCTGAAATAAATCACAGATGACACAAACAAATTGAAACACATCCCATGCTCATGGATGGGTAGAATTAATATTGTGAAAATGACCATACTGCCAAAAGCAATCAACATATTGCTTTGAGTTCATTGTAGATTCTGAAATATTAGTCTTCCCATCAATGCAATTCCCATCAAAATACCATCATTCTTCACAGAACTAGAAAAACAATTCCAAAATTCATATGGAACCAAAAAGAGCCCACATAGCCAAAGCAAGACTAAGCAAAAAGATAAATCTGGAGGCATCACAGTACCTGATTTCAAACTATACTATAAGGCCATAGTCACCAAAACAGCATGGTACTAGTATAAAAATTGGCACATACACCAATGGAACAGAACAGAGAACCCAGAAAGAAACCCAAATACTTAATAGCCAACTGATCTTCAACAAAGCAAACAAAAACACCAAGTGGGGAAAGGACACCCTATTCAACAAATGATGTTGGGATAATTGGCAAGCCACATGTACAAGAATGAAACTGGATCCTCATCTCTCACCTTATCTAAAAATCAACTCAAGATGGATCAAGGACTTAAATCTAAGACCTGAAACTATAAAAATTCTAGAAGATAGGCCAGGCATGGTGGCTCATGCCTGGAATCCCAGCACTTTGGGAGGCTGAGGCAAACAGATCACCTGAGGTCAGGAGTTTGAGACCAGCCTGGCCAACATGGTAAAACACT